AGCATGTCCATTCACTATATTTATCATTAAGAACTTATCAGCTGTTTGGGAAAATGATTAACAATAAAATAATATTAACTCTCTCAATACCGCCTCGGTCAATTTGACCGACCACGTGACCTCTTCGTATTCTTTTAAAGCCTTTATAGATTTAATACTTCTAACTTTCAATATAGTGTGTATATCATCACAAAATTTTGTTGTATTTCAGTTAATATTACAAGTCTTTCACATACAAAAAAATAATATTTTTTAGTGAAGTATTTGTTTTGAATAGTCTAGTGCAAAGTAATACTTTTCCTCATCTCAAAAATCTCAGATTTCCTTTGTGTAATCCCTAAAATCTCCTAAATACATTTCAAACGTTTTTGTTCAGTAAAACTTTATAGTTTATCTCTTATTTTCTCTACCCTATCTCAAAATGGGATCAGTAAATTCGCCCAACCTCGTAACAACCAAAAAAATCTAAATAATTCTAAATAACCCTTTTCTCTTTCTTGAATGACTTCAGATTGTAACATGAAACTACAATCTTTTATCCTAAGTAGCTCTAAGTTTGTAATAGTATACATCTATTTATAATTAAATTTTATTGTTTTATTGTCTTTTGAACTGTGTCTAACTACTACCTGCACCATTATAAGTTGTAACTCATTCAGGGAATGTGCAGCTCACGTTACGCTAACGAATTATATTACCCACAAGCTGCTCATGCATGTGCTCATGAAACATTTCTCTCATATATTATTATTATTTGTTTTACCCAATCTATTCTTTACTAACCTAAAAGGATCCCTATTTTTACATTTTAGTTACTTTTATAATAATAAATAAAAAATAAATATGAAAAACAAGAAATAAAGCACTTACCAATCTTCTTTTTCTTGCTGTTGGGTTTTCAAAGAGAGCTAACCCTAATTTTTTTTCTATTGGTAGTGACACACAAATAATTTTTATTTAATCAAATAATGCACCAAAGAACACATACTACTAACATGCAAAAAGTAGACAATATCCCCCAACTCTCAAATTTTTTCTGGCTTTCCAACTATGCGAGAAGAACCGTTCTAAATTCATCCAAGCTAGTCGTTAACTTTCCCACGGGAACAATGTTGGTACTCCGAGTGAAATTAACATTTGACTATTCAGAACATAACATTATACAATACATCACTTTATAG